ATTAACCCTCCTTTAGTTTTACAGCACAAATATGCACAAGTGCCCAAGGTCACTCTCTTGCATGTTGGTGCAGTGCACAACACGACACAGTTGTGCTTCTTTGAGGTGTTTACCAAGTGACCCAAAGAGTGACTTCAGCATAGGAGGGTTAATATACGTTGGGTAAGGGCAAACCCGTTATATATAATTAACATCTCCCCAACGCCAAAAATACATCTTGAAAAAATATCGTAGAGGTGCTGAGCAAATGAAAGGGGACATCTGTTGTGGATTTTTCTTTATTCATCATTTCCATGGGCGGACAAAGAGTGTTCCTCTCAGAATGTTGCAACTGAAAATGAGAAAACAAGCAGATGATTGTCATGAGTTTCAACATTCGTTAAAAGTGCACACGGCCAGTTACCCCAGCAGTGCCAGTGCATCATTTGCTTGCTCCTGAAAATGATGAGAAAAAAGTAAAGTGGATGCCCCCAAACAAGTTCATACAAATTTACAAACATTTTCCAGAGGATCAGTCAGCATGCCTATCATTTTTTGAGAGGCAACTTGCTTTCTGCGGAACAAAAGCAATAAATCACTTAACAAACTCCTCTGCTTCCTGCAGCTTGATCAAATTGACCCGGGTGCAATTGTATGGTGCCCCCTGTCGAATTCTTTCGATAAAGGTATCGGCAGAAAACATTGCTAGACCAGCTCTCTATACGTATTTTATTATTTTCTGTTTCAGGGTTGAAGATTCTGAAAACAAAAGAGATTACTGAATGTAGCGACAAGCATCCAGAAAGTCCCAACACCAGCGGTGAGTTAACATCTTTCAACACTCGGTTTTCTTCAATGTAGAATTTAGGGCTGAATATTCAACCTTCGCTTTGATCAATATCCGAATATTCGGCCGTACCGAGGAGCAGATTGTTCAGGAACAAACCATAAACAAAATCAGTTGCAATAACGCACACAATTGTACATTATAACCACTGTAATAGCTTCTCACGTCTAGGAGTATCTCCAGCCACGATATAGCACGATTTAAGAGATGAACAGTACTTCTTGCTCTGTTGAAACTTTCTATTCCTTTCAAATTTTTTAATGAATAATTTACTTTGGAAAAGTTGTAAGATTTCTGTCACTTTTCATTTGAATCTGCTTGAAACAAGCCTCCATAGTGCAATTTTTCTCATTTAAAACAAAAGAAGAAATTCTCCCTTTTCAGGAATTTTGCATTTGAATATTCAAATTCGGAAAATAATATTCAAATATTTGATAATCGATCCAATATTAGATATTCGCCAAACGCCGTGCTTGAATTCTTAAGCTTTTGGAGTCTAATGATATTCAAAATATCCAGCGTTACGAGCTACATTTGTAACATGTCTTGTCCCTGAGCGGAATCCGTGCAAATAATGATACTTTGTTGTGTCATGTGACAACTCAGGTGAATAAGCAGTGTATCACATGACCATTGTTTACACATCAGAGTTACTGTTTTTGGCTCAGCCTGCTGTGAATGGTTCTGTTACTCCATGTCTCTGTTTTGTTTTCTACAGTTGAAGATTATGATTGCTTGAAAGTGGCTTTGAGCCTGCCACCTGTGAACCTGGCATTGAGTCCCGACGACCTCACACTGGCAGTATGCTCCATGACTGATAGCACCCTCTTGGTGGCGCTGTTTGATACCCGCACTCTTGTGTACAAGGTAATTGGCAGGTCCTGTCTGAATACGTTGTCTGCAGCACATGTGCAGATTATTGCAAGCCAAGTCCAGTTATCCAAATGCAACTTAACAAGGCACATGAAGAGTTGATAGTAGTCACATCGGGAAAGGTTAATAGGTTGTCAGTCTGTGCATGAATATAAACCACTCCCATGTTTACCATATTTGGTGTTGCAGAGCATCAATGCCTCGCCCTTTGCTGTAGCAACCCTGTCCAAGGAGTCTGACTGCCAGTTAGTCAACCTTCTCTGGAACCCCAGCAACCCGACCCTCTTTGCTACGTGCCTCTCTGACGGCAGCATGGCATTATGGGATTGCTCAGAAGACAACATTAGAATGTTGGCACAACTGCCCCGTGACGTAGAACCCACAGCAAGTACGTTTTAGTGGTTTTTGCATTCATAGTCATTCCTGTCTGCCTCAAAATTTGTTTACTTTTCTGGGAGGAATTTTACTTTTTTCAGGGTATTACAGTCAAATCTGAAAAGACCTCGAAATTGTAACTTGTACATCTTGTAAGATCTGACTGGAGCCTTTATTCATCTGTCCATGACCTTAAAAAATTAGAAAGAAATTATGGTTCCTTTACATCAACAAATTACCCTTGACACAAAGTTTAAGCTTCATGATTAGAGAATTTTGTCGCTGAGTAAAGAGCTTGTATATGGCAGAATATTTGTTATTTGTTGAATTTTCTTGTGCACTTGGCCATGTTATGATGGAAACAAAATGACCAGAATTAAATTGGCCCTTCAAGCTTTTCTGTTTTCTATACTCGTATGTCCACTCCTATTCTGAATTTTTGAAATAACTGCAAATTGTATATAAAGCAATGCGGTTCTCACCTCATGGTGGAGTTATCTTGCCTCATTCTTCGCTCATGCAGTTTGCTGGAGCCCCAAGGGCAAACAGATTGTAGTGGGGACCTCCTCAGGGAAACTGATTCAGTACAATCACAAGCTGGAGCAAAAGAAGATGATACCCCCTGCCGACTTCTCCGAAGAGCCAATCAAAGGTTGGTCCGTTTGGATGCAAATTTCTCCTGGTCCCTCCAGTGGACTCGTCAAAAGTGTTGAGCATTGCAAGTAATTCTTTCACCAAGGAGGTGATATTACAAGTGTGGCCTGAAATGTGAAAGGTGGAATTGTTTAGAAGTGAGGGACTTTGATTTCTTGATGCCGAAGAGTAAGAGACTTCAGCGGTATATGACTTTGGGACATGAGGGTTCGTTACAAGAAATGCTTGTGTCAATTACAAACTGGAGTTGTGAAAGTTTGTAGAAGATGGTAGGACTGATTCAAATGCCCCCCTGTTGTATTAAAGTTGTTCTTAAGGTGCTTGATAGAGCAAACACCACTAGTCGAAGTATACCAAGCACGGTTCCTACGGCCTGGAAAAGTCATGAAATTTTGTAAAAATGACTAAAGTCATGGAAAAGTCATGGAATTTTGTAAAAATGACTAAAGTCATGGAAAAGTCATGGAATTTTGTAAAAATGACTAAAGTCATGGAAAAGTCATGGAATTTTGTAAAAATGACTAAAGTCATGGAAAAGTCCCGGAATTTTTCAAACATTGTGTGTGATTTCTGTGTTCAGAAATAAGTGCATAAAATGTGTGATTGTATTCGCAAGTTAAAAGGCCGCAAAGTCCAAGAAATTGCATTATTGGATCATGGATTTTCATGGATTCATGGATTTGGTCATCGAAAAGTCATGGAATTTAGTTGTCCTTGAGGTGCAGGAACCCTGCAAGACTAATTGAATGTAGTTCACCTGAAAACAATCAGTTTGACCACCCCTTGAAAATTTGACCTTACCATATTTATTTTTTAAATTTATTGAGGCAAAAGTAAACAAGGAAACAAAAGCATCAATTAGAGACACATACGTACATCCAAAATACATAAATTACAAAGCCAGGGATAAACCGAAAAGATGCTAATAATGTGGCTTATTTCCATCGTAGCTTGTTTCCATTGCGGCTTATTGCCGTCATGGCTTATTTCCATCATGGCTTATTTCCATCATGGCTTATTTCCATCGTGGCTTATTTCCATCAGGGTTTATTTCCGTCATGGCATTTTCCATCAAGGCTTATTTCCATCATGGCTTATTTCCATCATGGCTTATTTCCATCGTGGCTTATTTCCATCATGGCATTTTCCATCATGGCTTATTTCCATCAGGGCTTATTTCCATCAGTGGCTTATTTCCATCAGGGCTTATTTCCATCGTGGCTGTTTTCCTTCGGGGTCCATACAATACTGCAAAGTGACAGTTTTCAACTTTTGTCTTCCACTGCACAAGCAGAGTTCCCACTGCAGACATCCAGGACACTTGGAGCTTTTCAGCTCAGCGGTCAGACCGTTTTTGTTCAAGATTGTAATTTCCTGAGTCTGTTCAGCAGGATTGGTTTTTTTTCTGGTTTGTGTTTCAGTGGTAGACATCCTGTGGCTGTCAACCTACATGTTTGCCGTGGCCTATATAGATGTTGAGGAAACACTCCAACCCAATCTCACCATTGTCAGTGCACCCGTGAGTGTTGCAGATAGTTTGAAATAAACGCTGGTTTTGCTGTTGTGTATTCGACCTTTGGAATTGGGGGAAGGCTCTGTTACAATTTGAATAGATATCTTAATTTTCAAAGTTTTAATTAGAGTCGCATAACTTAAAATTGTCATTTCTTGAAATTTAAGTAACCATTTGCAGGCATATTCATTCATGTAATAGCCAACCAGACACTAACATCTATTCTCTCCTGTACTTTTATGATGAATCATGATAATTGGTCTTGGTAAATGCTTTTGGACAGGAGTATCATTAAGACTCCTTTGATGCAATAAGTATTGCTTACGGCTTGGAAACTCAACCCCAATTGCCAATTTAAGCTAAGAAGTTGCTTTGCCCCAAGCACACGGTTGGAGTTCATAGAGCTGCCGAGTCCAGGAATTTGCTCAGCAGCAAAACCTTTTGCTTCGTAAAAACAAATGGCACATAAGCAAATTGTCAGATATCTTTGATTGATCGTTACCAGTTTCCAACAAGTTATCCATTTTGACCAGACTCCAGCTCAGGAAATTGCTATGGAAGATTTGTGTCTTGCAGCTTGGTAACACAGGTTTCATATTGTCCATCGCAGAAAGATGGCCAGCCCACCTACACCAACTTTGAAGACATCTGCTACGGCAGCAGTGAATTAAGGAATACCCATTACCAATTGGTTCATCTGGATAAATGGTAATCTTGATAATTGCTAAGTTTTGTTTTTTAGCCTGTTTGCAGATGGACTTTCAAAACAGCAAAAAAAGTCTGGTTTTGTCACTCAGAATTTGCCATTATGTGTCGCTGTTTGTTGCTTGTAATCTTGTTACATTGTCCCACTGTTTTTTGACTACTCGAGTTAAGTTGACGGTGTCTGACACTTTGCAGTCTAATCGTTTTCTCTCCACTCGTAGCAGCAGCGGAAAGTTTTTTTTTTAGTTCATCAGTCGGTGTTTATGGGACCTCATAGTTGCTGCTGATGGGAGCCCACATTATTTTTGTCAACAGGGGTTTCATCCTCGCCACGTCCAGCAACTCAATGGAAGCAGCCGTGATTGGCCACTCGCTGGAGGACAAAGCCTCGTGGGAAATTTGGACATTGGACGACGCAGCGCGCATCGAGATGCCCCTGAGTGGGGAGAGTGAGGACACATTCCCCATGGGTTTGGCACTGGACTTGTCAAGCGAGTCAGACATCGTCGTGGGTGAGTTGTTACGTAATCCATACACACCCCCCCACCTCCACCCCTTCCCCCCAAAAACCAATTCTCATCAAAGGGTGGGCATTTTGGCATATCAAGTTAATGCTTGCCCAATAATTTGTGAAACTGTGACAAGTTGGGATCGTCCAATTTTTTTTGTAGGAAAGGAGACATACCACTGCCCTCCTGTTGTAATGGTACTGTCCACTGAGGGGTTGCTGTGCCCCTTTTATGTGCTGAATTCTGATGCAACAGAGCCCATCACACACAAGGCCGAACCATTGCCTCTTGAGGGGGAGAGAGTTGCCAAAGGTAAGCTTTTTTCAAGATTTATTTTTTTTTTTTATAATAGGTAAGCTATTACAATAACCCCCAAATATCAGCATACTGGCTATTCCATAAGTGCTGTCAAGATAAATCCATATTTTTATTCCAACGTTCAACCTTAAAAATATTGTACATTTCACTTAATGCTGCCTTTTTCTTCAGAGATAACAAATACGAGAACTGTAATTAAAAAAAGGAATCAAACGATAACCGTGGTTGTCATTTTGAATTTAACACAGGAATATGTAATGCCCACATCTGTGCCATCCATTCCTAACTGCTCAGTGATTGTGTTGTTTCTTTCTTGCACTTTTCAGGTAGAGCTGAGCCCGGTCAGACCCAAACTACCAAGCCTCCAGTGGCCCTAGACACATCAAAGTAAGGACAGCAATGGCGGTGCGGCATGTCTCAAACCTAAGGGGCAATCCATGCGTTTCTCTAAAGCAAATACAAATTTCTCACCTTGAACGCCTTGATATATCCAGCAAGAAATGAGACCAAGGGGTACCCCCCAAAATGTTCAGTCGCTTATACACATTCTAGACTATTGTTATCTAAGACATCCCCCCCCCTAGATGTCTGAAAAGAATTCCTCAGATTCCAGTGAAACAATGACCAACACAAAGCAGGGGGGTTCTGTCCGTCTCATGTCGTGCTTCATATGAGCCTTGATACACCGTTATCCCGAAAAAACATTGTCTAAATTATGGACTTGCTTTTACAAACCTGTGCATTTTCTTTAAGTTATCCATTCAATAGAGCTGCATAGCCACAGTGGTCCTTTTGGGTTCTATTGTGATTTTTAAAATAATTTTCCCGGGTGGAAAAGGGGTCCGGGTGTAAAATCTTATGTTGCCCACAATTTTGAACCCCTTGGTTTCAAAATCTATATACAGCACAGAACTCCTGTCTAAGAGGGTCTCTAGTTTTGGGGTAGTGTTGAGCACTTTTTTTCGTAAGTTGTGCTTTTCAAATCATTCTAAAACCACCTGATTTATGTATCTGACCAGGCCAACTGCCCCTCCTCCAATTCACAAGTCTTCTAGCACGGGTAGTTTCTCCTGGGGTTCATCGTCCTCCTCATCCACCCCCTCCAGTCTCGGATCAGCCGCCACCGGCACGTCCAATCGCAGCACAAGTTTCTTGTTCACCAATACCAAGGCCCTCGATTCCAGCGGACAGTTTGGCAAAGCCAGTTCGGCAGCTAGCTCCAGCATTGAGACTACCACCTTTACCTTCAGCGGCAAACCTGTGGACATGAGGAACGGAAGTGCGCCAAAGCAGGATGCCCCTTCTTCCTTACCCCCGAAAGCATCCCCCGTGAGCACCTCCCTGGCCCAATCAACCCCTTTCCAGGGAGCTTCACCATTCCCATTCAAGGTATGTCTCCACTCCTCTGAAAACAGCCAACCCTTGGTGCAAAAACCTTACCATTAAAACTTTGAAATGGCATTTCTACTTTGCATTAGTGTCAATTTGTTTCAGTCTAGTTGAGTAAAACACAACTGTTTTCTTAACGAGACAAACATTATCTCCGGTTTCCATCTAACAGAACTAATTTCATTCATAACTTAATCCACGTCTGTTTTATGAGGCTATGGCAAGCAGTAATACACAAGCTTATGAGAGTCACTAGCCAGTGGCTAGCCTTAGTCATGTAATTAGGACTTGGGCTTAGATCCACTCAGCTATTGAATGTGTACACCCTCAGCAGGAGTTCCATGAATTTGGATTTCTTCATCATCTCAATTACAACCAGGTACCTGGAGTCCAACATGTGACAGCAAGAGGTCTACCAGTCGATCAGGTGGCCTCAATCCAGACGACCACCCAGTCGAGGTTTGTGAGCCAGGAGACCCCGGATGCTGCACCCTCAGTGTCTGGTGCCCCGATTCACCCTGCCTCGCCGTCTGCATTTGCTACCTCTCACCAGAAGACTGCTTTGGAGACTTCAAGCACCATGGGAAGTGGTCAGTGTCTTTTTCTTTCGTTTGTGCCTCAGTTAGTGTGAATGATGATTTTTCTTCTGCGTCTTTCTGTCTGTCTTGAGACCTGCAAAGGTTGCTCGTCCATTGATTCACCAGTCTGACATTTTAAGGTCTGACATTTTTGGGGAAAAGTGTTGTAGAAGAATAACTAACAACGCATTTCCATGCCATTTGTTTCTCTAACGGTAACTTTGTCCATATCTTGTTATCCTTTGTAGGTTCCCAACCACAAGCAGATAGTGTCAAGGTACCTGGTCCTCCGGCCACCTTTGGCCAACAGCAGGTTATCCAGACATCTGCTGTGGGGAAAGCTTCATCCAGCCTTATCTTCCCCCCTGCTCAAACTGCCTCTCCCCACAGGGCAGCACCACCCAACCAGGTCGCCCCAGGGGGTGCTAGCATTGTCCCCAACCAATTCACCCCAAGGGGTGCAAGCCTTGTCCCCAGCCAGGTCGCCCCAGGGGGCTCCGGCGTCATCCCCAACCAAGTCGCCCCAAGGGGTACCAGCGTCATCCCCAACCGAGTTGCCCCAGGGAGTGCCAGCCCCGTCCCCAACCAAGTCGCCCCAGGGGATGCCAGCGTCATCCCCAACCGAGTCGCCCCAGGGAATGCCAGCGTCATCCCCAACCAAATCGCCCCAAGGGGTACCAGCATTATCCCCAACCGAGTTGCCCCAGGGAGTGCCAGCCCCGTCCCCAACCAAGTCACCCCAGGGAATGCCAGCGTCATCCCCAACCAAATCGCCCCAAGGGGTACCAGCCTCCTCCCCAACCAAGTCGCCCCTAGTGTGGTGCCCAACCGCCCTGCCCTGCAGTCGACTCTGCCAAATCAGTTTGTGGCCTTGAGCACTCTATCTAAACCCCCTCCCCCAGCTTATGGTGCCAGTCTGCCTCAGCAGCAGGCTGTGCCGGACTTTCGACCTCCTCCCACTGTGCAAGCCCCATCTACTGTGGCTGCTGGAGTCAAACCCAGTGGGCGTGTTTCCATACAAGTAACTCCAGTGGAGGAAGCATATCTCTCCAACATAAACGCAGAGGTATAAGTTTGAAAATTTCAAGTTTTCAATTTTTATTTTACATTTTGCAGCAGTCAATACTATTTCTTTATTCTACTTGCTAAGTGGAAATATCGACATAACGTTACCGCCCCTAGATTGAGTATTTCAAGAAGGAGTTGGAAGAGCTGCAGAACCACACAAAGAGGGCGCACTTCGAGGTCGGAGAGCGCTCAGAGCAAGAAACCATCAAGAAGAACGCTGATGAATTAGTGAAGTTCAGAGCCGAAGTCCTGACTGTAACCAAGGTAATCACTGCAGATATTTTGTCAACCTTCTCGTCATGCAGGCACTCCGCCTTGCCACCTTCCAAAGGACCCTGTTTATGACCAGTATACTACACCCCTGCTTATCAAACCCTAACCTTAACCCAAACTTGAGGCATCCAGCACATAACCAAGCTAGGAATGTTCCTGTTGTGCACCATCCTGGCCTGACGTTGTGAATGATGACATTCCACAAAACTGTACACATATCTATGGATGGTGTGCAACATTGTCCACATGTGTCATGAACAAGCCAGTTCGGTATTTCAACAGCGCATGCTCAGTATGAGGCTATTTGGGAAAAACTAAGCATTCGTGACACAATCTGTCCTAGTTTTGAAGAAGTGAAGTAGTTTTGATAAAACATCTTCCTCGGGGACACCCATGATTTTGAATTTGTTTTTAATATAAAAAACCCAACAGGCGTGTTCCAAGTAATTATCGTCTTGTTCCTCATAGTCTCACAATGAGGAAATCCATGAATTGAAGGGCAAGCTCCTGGCTACTTTTGCTCAACTTGAAGATGCTCGCACTCTGAGACAGCGCAATACCGACCCCCGCTACTTGCACCTGCTGCGCTTACGAGGACTGGACCCACAGACAGCCAAAAAACTGCGCAACATACACAGCAACTTCCATTACCTGGACACTGGACTGGCAGACGTAAACGGATGCCTTGATGCACAGTGGGAGGAGTTCCATCAACGGAAG